AAATTTTAATCCATGAAAAGGGATGCATTTTATGTGTTATATCAATTTTGATCCCGAAACTATTAGCAAATGGAAATATTGGGGGTACAATGTCTCCGTACGTTCATGAGATGGGCGTGTCAGGCAGTGCACTCATGGTAGGTAAATGTTCATGATTACTGTCTTGTGGATCATTGTCTATCACTGTATTATTGTCACTATCAACTTCATCCAATTCAGGAATCATTATTTCATCGAAACTATCATCATCAGAACAAATCTCGTTCACAACATTTTCCAGCTGGTCTGTAGGAACACGAAGACACTTGCTGCAAGAAGCCATGGTGAAACTGAATGAATGTGAAATATTTTCTGACCTTTTCCTTCTCAGAGGGTTCTGACAGTAATATAGACCCCCAAAAAGTTTACAAGGGTTCTTTACAAACATGCACAAAAACTATCATATACATGTCTTTGGTTGATGAGTGCCAAGAGAACAAAGAAGGGAAGAGATTGTCAAAGCGTTAAAACACGCCAACGCCAGGGAACGGCTGGCATCGTCCGGGCGTTAAAACATGCCCGCGCCAGTCAAAGAGTTAATTTTACAACTGAAAATCAGATATCCTACATTCATACTTTTGTTACTGAAAGAGAACAAAGCACAAGAGAATAAAAATGATGCAAAGACAGTCTGTGGTTCCCATCATTTATTACACGTTTTGTTATGATCACACAAGAGCTTAGTTGGTTGAGGCACTATGCTACAAATTGGAGGTCGTGGGCTCGATTCCCGGCGAGGTCACTGGATTTTTCAACTGACTTAATCCTTCCAGCCACACTATGGCCATGGGGTCAACACAGCCTCTAACAATAATGAGTACCCTGAATCTTCCTGGGGGTAAAGTGCGGGCGGTGCGTAAGGCTGACAACCTCACTGCCATCTGTGAGCCGAATGTCTAGAAAATGTGCGAGTCTCACAACAGTATGGGCCTGCACAGCCTGTTATAGGGATAGATTTATCTTGTTTACATTAAAATGGGGCATTGCAAGAAACTGATTCTACATTACATACCTCATCAGGTCTCCACGCTCTTTTCCAGATGACAATCTTTCCGGTCCCAGAGCCATAACTATGGGGCATGGGGAGGGGATGGGGGATGCATTCTTACTGCTACTAGAAGGAAGCATAGTCTCAACCCCTAGCTGTTCCTCTTCGTCGTCGCCAATTGCTGGCAGGAAGGTACCTGTAATTACAATATCTAAATTCAGACATCTGTTGAGTTGACACAGAATACGAAATAAATTCAATATTCTGTTTCTGAACTTCAATGCCACCACAGTAAATGATGGAATATGTTTTGTTCAACACTTCTTCACAAAGAAAGTTCTCATCTATCTTACGAACGTAAGATACCAGACAACACAGACCTTTTCATTTGAATACCCAGAATTACTGGGTTTTTGGGCTCTGTCCATCGTCCATTATTCTAGAAACCAGAATACCAGATGATGGACAAAGTCTGAAAACCCAGTAATTCTGAGTACATAAACCATCATCAGAACTCTTTAGGATTCACTTCATTTGAAATTCAGCACATTAGGATGTACCTCCAAACTGCTGTTAGCGCAAGAACAGAAATGGGCATGGAAATGGAAACATCAACAATGAAGACTCGACATAAAATTAGGGGCCAGCAAGCAGGTAGACGGATACAGACATAAAAATTCCCATAAACTGTACAATGATTCTCGCAAAAGAATGAATAAAATAGGCTGTTGTATAAATACCTCTGGTCTAGAAAACCGAGATTAACAGCCATGGGGATTTGTTCCGCTGAACACGCAACACCCTCTATTCGCTAAAGTTGGCACTAATTTCGCTGGACAAGCGGCGGTCACTCGTTCGGCTTGTTTGTTTAGTTTGTTTGTTGTATAAATACCAAGAATGTAAAAACTGACAAACCAGCACACATATACAACTCCTCTACTCACCCATCAGAGCTTTCACTGCCTGTCTCTTCTTCTTCAGTCTTTGTAATGAATTGCTACTGGGATTGTGACCTTTGGGCTTCCTTCCTTTTGTCAGCTTCCTCTTGATTTCTTGCAAAAGAACAGAGCACGCAACTCAGACAGTGTCACAAACATCAGGAAAATAAATATCTAGACGCCCATCAACACTTCCAAGCAGATATGTATATCTGAGATTCTGATCAATCTGTTTACGGGCCCAGACCTACGTTAAACTTCGGCCACGTTGATATCACTGGAAAGTGCATTTCATTACTCCACAGCTGACAATAAGCACTCTAGCTAAATTAGGGCGAGTTACAGGATATTTAACAATGTCACATCAAAACTGTCATTTCGTTTGAACCCTTGATTTCATACTACAAAGACACTACCCAGCACAGAACCATTCAACATTTTCATCCACTTCTGTAAGGTCCAGGAGATCACAAAATCTCATCAAAATCTGAAGGGGGAGTGGACTGCTGTGTGTTCATTTCACACAGAATGCCTCACATGTGTATCTGGTGAGGAATGTCCAGGTTTACAACACTTGGAACATCTATGGGCTCTGCAATACCATACATAATGATACATGAACTGAGTCGAGCTGGCTGAGTGTGGCATTCTCTTAACATAACTCCAGTCAGATTCTAAACGGTTCTGACGGTGCCTAACGCTCAGAATTACTGGTTTTCTGGACTTTCTTCATTGTCCAGTACTCTTCCTGTCCTCAGTTGAGGGACACCTATTCACTTGGGTCCATCATAAAAAGCTGATCTAATCACTGAACGTGATGAACTCAAAACTGTGTATATACTCTCCTCACCTAAGGATGGAAGCACTTACAGCTTCCAAAAACTTCTGTTCTGGTCAACTCAGGCTCTAACAGAAATGAGTACCAGGAATATTCCTGGGGGTAAAGGGTGGCCAGCGCATAAGTCTGATAACCTCACCGCCATCTGTGAGCCGGTTGTCTAGAAAATGTGGGAGCCTCGTGTCTCACAACCCTATGGGCCTCCATGGCCTGTTACAGGGATACCTTTACGTTACCTTTTTAAAATATTCTGTTCTATTTTAGAACACTGGATAAAGGACAAAGTCCAGAAAACTAGTATCACCAAAATCCTTCAAAATAGGTAAATTACAATTTCCCATATCACTCACTTGCTGTCAAAGTGTTGGCAACAGTCTTCTTAAGCCGGCTGGCATACTTTTTCCTATGCTCCAAATGTTGCTTCTTTGCTCTTCTCTCTAACCCTGTATCCTTGTCAATTTTAGATAATCCTGATGCTTTCAGTGACTTCAGGCTGATGCGTAATGCCTTCTGTTGCCACTCTGGGGTTCTCATGATAGCATCGTAATGAAGGCTCTCACAAACCTCTGCAAGGAAAAAATCAATATTTTTAATACAGCAGAGAGAAAAATTGAGCACAGACACAATTATGAATGTATTTCAGAAACCAGGCTGCGCCATAGCTCAAGTGGTTAGTCACTGGCTTCCCACTGTGATGGCCTGGGTTCAAGCACGGGTGTGGTCAAGTGAGATTTGTGATGGACAAAGTGGTGCTGGGGCAGGTTTTCTCCAAGTACTTCAGTTTCCCCTGCCAATCTTCATTCCACCAAATTTTCCAACATTATAATCACCTGGGCAGGTACAATAGGCCAACCAGTGGCCAATGTGCCAAGTGGACCCAGCTGGACTCCACGCCCCACTAAGCGAATTCAGAAACTGATCATGAATTCGCCTACAGTGGAACAGATAAGCCTTGAAACTGAAAAATATGCAGGAAATAATCAGGCGTATACTGTACTACTTGGTGCTTCAAGGCTGCCTAGCTGCACCTGACATAGAATTCTCATGCCCAGACTATTATTAATGTCCACAATACTCACCATCTGGAAATGAAAGCACTGGGTGAAACGTGGGGCTGAGCAGTGCTATTCTTTCAGGTACGGTGAGAAGATCGGGCTGCTGCGGCACCATGGCGTCTCTCCGACCTGTACACAGTGCACACGTGGGGAGCGGAGGCTGACACCCACATCTCACTGTAGAGGATCTTGCAGCTTTCTTTGATACCAAATGCAAGCCTGAGGTTTGTAGAAGCTTTCGCTTCCGGAACGTACTCTTCACTAACGGCCTTACTCGGGCACAATTCATCACTGGCCCACAACCACTTGGGAGATTTCCATTCACAACTTCATCCGTCACTGATGTGGGTTTACCCGGTGCCCCACCACCAGGGAGCAAGCCATGGAAACCATTCACCACCATGTGGTTGTTACGAGGAGTGCCAGGTGATAACGAAGTGGACGTACTAGACACCTGCTGTTCACCCAGTGTCAAAGGACCCTTGGCAGCACGGATTTGTCTGTAAAGTAGTTGAATACCACATCACCTAAGTATACTGTCACAAAACCCATTGATAAACTATAATCCTCCATAAAGCTGACATCTCAGTACAGTACCTACAGATCAGGTATGCAGTGCAACATATCAACAAAACCTCTTCGATAAATTTTACTTGGTTCATCCTGGTCCGTCACACTAATAATAGTATAAGAGATTATTAATGCTGTCCAGTGTGACTGATAAATATTGTGCTCTTGCTCTGACTGAAACATGTAAAGGATGAAAGATTGGAAGAACACAACACTCATCAGTCACCGGATGGCAATAATAAAACCTCCCTTTTAACTGGTGTCTTCAACTTGTATTTCCAGCTAACACAATCTGATAAAACCTGTTTATGTAGCCAGAATGAAGCTACCTGTATCAGAAAGAATGGTATTCTCCTTATATCCACACATTGCGAGTTTAATATTATGAAGTTTGTAATGTAAACATACACAATGTAGACAGCTGGCCATTTCCAGGTATGTAATATTTCACTTCCCCTTTCTTTCCTAAAACTCTGACTGCTATTCATGTTTCCCACATTCAATATGAATTGTGAGGACAAATAAAGGGTCCAAATATTTTTTTAAACACACATATGAACCAATGAAGGAGGTCACACACTGAGAAGCTTCCACCTCCACTACCAAAGCTGTGCACTGGCAGTGTACCGTGGCTCTAGCTATTAAAACATCACGACATAAGGGCTGTCATTCCACTTTGAACTGTGCATTTTCAACTGGTGTGACACATATCATGAATTTGGAAGACAGGGGTGCACACTTCCAGGATAAATGACATGCAACAGCAAAATGCGACATACCTATGGATCTCATTATGCTGACGAATCCGGTATTCAAGATCAGAAATCTGAGCCTGGAGCCACGTCCATCGACTTGCAACACCTGCTCTGTCTTGCGCCCACTTCCACGCAGCCCGTTTTGCTCTAGAAATAAAACGATAATTCCTTCTTACTACATGAAAGTGGTAGTCATTAGAAACAAAATGGAGGCCAATAACTGACTCCATGTGCCCTAGATCAACGTTTCTCAACCAAATGAGGTTCATCCCACTAATATCAATCACACAATGATCCACTAGGTCAGGCATGTCCAACGAGTCGATTGCGGGACGACTTTTGGTCGATCTCACAGGCCTATAAGGAAATTATACGTGAAAAGCATGTAAATTAACTTGTAATATAATATGATTATATTCAGGTTTTGAAGGGAAAACACGTATTAGTCATTCCTACTTTTCCGTTCTTAACGAACAAGGTAAGTCTGTACTTTCAATGTATGTTGCTTTTACAACAAACATCATGTGTCATGTTATTTTTACCAATATTTTCGCTTAAAGCGAGGCATAACGATAGGAAGGGGTGGTAATCACTGGCAGTTTTGACACTAAAAAGTTGATCACAACCTGTTTGAAGTTGGACATTCCTGCACTAGGTGAATGTGAGGTCTTAAAAATAATAAACTAATTCAGTGCAAAAAAAACTTCCTTGCAATGCATGCACAAGCCATCACTGATGTTGGGCTATAATCATATTTCTGCTAGCAGGGCTAAGCCTATATTATTTTTACATAACTACAGCAATGAAATGCCAAAAACTGTTACGATCTTAATGTTCCTCAGTCACCAATTAATACTCGTATATCACCAAAATGTAAAAAACTGTAAAAAAAATATTTGTAAGATTTGAGGCTTTCATGGTGGTGACTATGAAGAAAGCAGTCTTCTGGGATTTGGCACCGTGTATATGTGGCGTTAAACGACGTTCCTCCGAAACATCGGTTAACACCACATATACACGGTGCCAAATCCCAGAAAACTGCTTTCTTCAAAAAAATATTTAACGGAAAAAGGAAAGCTTTGGTTTAACTATGGTGGGGCCACATTTTTCTGATAAAATGACCAGCAGAATGCAAGATGCAGGGAGATCAGAATGACTGCCCTACATCAAGCCAGAGCTACAGATTTTTAACTAAAAAATACAAGAAAACCAACAAATGGAATGCAATGAAAAACACATTACACTGCTGATCACTGTTTTGGAAAATGACAGATAAACGCTACACCATGCGAGAACCAGGTGACTACGCTAACTGATAGCTCCCCTTGCTGGCTAGACAAAGGAACTACAATGTCATTTTGAGGGCCATGTGAAAGTCAAGCATGGCCCTGCAGTGAGTATGACTATTACACAGGACAACCGAGTACTTATGTAATGGAGCATTTCATTTGATTTCATTGATCATAAGGGAGGGGACTAGCACCCCAAACGTGGTATCCCCAGAAAAGAACATACGTTTTTAAAGACAAACTTCGTCGGATCTTCAGTGAATCTATTTCTCACAGGCAATGTATTCCTCTGAATGGTGTGGAACATGGTCCCAGTATAGGTTACGGTACTTTCTCAATGTCCAGGTTTAGCTATGCATAGAATATTAACCTTCACCTCTGCATGGTTTGAACTGACTGATATATAAGTTTGACCACCATCAGCACGGTACCGATTCTACCATTACCGTCAGGAGCCTTTTGCAGGGTCCTAACAAGATCAAGAATGCAGACTGGACCCAGTATCAACCAACAGTACTTGACGTGACCACAGTTGTCCAACCAAGCCAATACCAGTAGATTATGATGGGAGAAATAAGATGGGATGAGGTGGGCAGGTCATGTAGCACGAATGGGAGAGACGAGGAATGCGTATGGGATATTGGTGGGAAAGCCAGAAGGAAAGAGACCACAGGGAAGACCAAGGCTTAGGTGGGTGGGCAATATTAAAATGGATCTTAGAGAGATAGGATGGGATGGTATGGTATGGATTGGATAATCTGGCACAGGATAGGGACCAGTGGAGGGCTCTTGTCAACAAAGTAATGAACCTTCGGGTTCCACAAAATGGTGGGAAATTCTTGAGTAGCTGCAGAGTTGGCGGCTCCTCCAGAAGGGCTCAGCTCCATCAGTATGTGAGTACTCACTAACATTCACATTCTACAACGAATTGGTCGAACTACAAAGAAATAACTTCAGTATCAGAATAAAGAATATGATGGAACTATCTCCCTGACCAAAGAGTATGTTCTTGGTTTAACACCATGTAGTTCAGAACAAGCCTAACACTTAGGAGGAACATACAGTCTCCATCTTCGAGGTTAAAGAATAAGCAAAGCATGAAACCAGAAGTAGGCAGCAAATCTTCAGCTACTGCTGTGGAACCTTCAAATCCAACTCGATGAAGGAGGCTGCTTTGCAGACAAAGTGGAGATGCAGGGACAATACCAAAATCAATCTTGCAGAGAGGAAATGAATGGAATGTGGCCAGATTTAAACAAAATCGCCTTTAATAATATTACCACCGTCCTTTCTGACTACGTGAGCAAGCAAAACAGAATCTCATTTTGATACTGAAGCAGTGTGATGACGACAACTAAGTAAAGTGACACACAATTACTGAATATGAGTTGCTAATACAAAAATGTACCATAACCCCTACTCTCTGCACCAATGAGTCACATACTTCATACCACAACTACCTTTTTGCTTACTCAGCATAAAGAATGCCTAATAAAGTTGTTAATTAATTAAGCGCCGGAACATGAAGATGTATGAGGCGGTGGAGGTATAGTTCCACCATTCTTCACCTCGGCACCAGATGGAGGTCAGTGGTCAGCTTCACACCCTGAACCAATACCTAGTACCCGCCAAAAATAATACTTTGGTGTATTTCCATCACAGAAGACAGCATAAGCAAAAAGAGATTTGGGATGATCAAGTACCCTTAATGACCAAAAATAATCTCTGTGTATATACGTGCCGCCAGTACAAGTGTCTCACCCATTCCCATTTCCACTGGCTACCCTTCCCATATAACCAATCTGCATCCCAGTTTGACCCTCTGAAATGTTGATAACCACCTACAAGACTACAAAGTGTTGATTACCTCTAATTAACTAAACAAAGCATGAGAATAAGGTTTGGAGCCAGGTTAGCTCGGTCGGTATAGTGACTGGCTACGGGTTGAACAACCAAGGGGTCGGAGTTCGAGTCCTGGTGGGTGCAAGAATTTTCTATCCTCCAAGTCGTCCACACTGGATCTGGGGTCTATTCAACCTCCTATACAATGCGTACAGGGACTTTCGTGGCAGGGGCGTGAAGCTGACCACTCACCTCCAACTAGTGCCAAGGTCAAGAAAATGTGGATCTATACATCCACTCCCCCTTACGCCTTCATGGCGTAGTGCTTCACTAGTTAAGCGCAGGGACTACTTTACCGTTTTACCGTTTATGAGGACAGGTTTAAACCCATCAACCTGATCGAGCAAACAAAATTTCATACTTGGCATAAGCGCTGGACGCAGTATACTTCCCACTTCATGCCCTGCACACTGTTTACACAAACGAGACTCTGATGACTGAGTCACGTCATGATCATTAAATGTGGTGAGAGTGAAGTCTTCATAACAGTCAGCATTAAGATCAATGGCCTCTGGAAAATACTGCCTGTAGTCTGACTGGTATGCACAAACGCTTCAGAGGAATCTCTAGCCTCCATCTTCAAAGTAAAAGCATCAAAATTACATGCGACATAAACCCTAATTTTATCTTTCAAATTTTCGTTTGATTTGTTGATATAACAATTGTCAGTCACCAGTATAGATGATAATGGACGGCTTGGTCTAGCTCATTATCACTTCTGACTCGCAGCTGAAACGTCCCGAGTTCGAAACTAGGAGAAGAAAGTAGCCACTCATTTTTCTTTCGAGTTTTCCTTCGCTGTTCACGAAAATGTTGGGACATTTACCTTAAAATGGTCACCTCCTTTCCATTTCATCATTCACTCAACGATACATAACAAGTAATTTACGCACTTCGTTAAGTGAACCTAAACCCAATGGAGCAGGCGCCGGAATATTCCAGTCGGTATTGACACGAGCTGTGGGCTCGACGACTGGGGTTGGATTCCCAGCAGGGGCAAGAGATTATTTTCTATACAGAGTCCAGCTCAGCTCTAAGGCCCATCCAGCCTTCTATCCAATGAGTACCGGTGGCTCTTCCCCGAGAGTGAAGGTGACCATTCACCTAGACATAATGCCGAGGTCAAGAGTGGTGGAGCTATATCTCCACTCCCCTCTACGTTTTCATGGCGTAGTGATTAATCAATTAAGTTCAGGGGAAAATTTTCCCTTTACATTTCAGAATCAAACGTGAAACTGTACGTTCACAACTGAAACCCATCTAATGGGATCTGATGACGTGAAGGATGGTAGCTATTTGCCGATGTTTCGGAGAAAGAGATGGGGGAAGCAGGTTCATTAGAAAGCTGTCATCTACCGGGCTATATCCTGGGATATAGCGCCATGTAGTCCATTGAAAGTCAACCGACGTTTCGAAGGAACATGTCGCCTCCATCTTAGGGAGCCGAATAAACCAAACAAAGGAACCAGAAGGAAAACATCGAGGTGATATGTTCCTCCGAAACGTCGGTCGATCTTCAACGAACTTACACGGCGCTATATCCCAAAAGATATAACTCTTCATGTTACTTAGTTAAAATGTGAACTTCACGTAGGAAGTCCAAGGACAAAATCCAATGCTTTGAGATAAGCTTGCAGCGATTTACGCGCAATTCCATCGTAGTGTAAACCGTAACGACACTTACATCTGCCGCTCATCTGAATGCCAATCGAAAAGTTTGGTCTGCGCATACAATGCAAGCATAGCTGGGACGTATCTGCACACATTCATCTCCGAAACCACTAATCGGATTTCGGTCGAAGCTCTCGAACGATCTAATTCGAACATCAGTTAATATCTGTCAAACTCTGGACTTTTCAACCGAACTAATCCTTCCAGCCGCACTGTGGTCCTGGGTCGACTCAGCCTTTAACAGAAATGAGTACCAGGAATATTCTTGAGATCTTCCTAGGGGCA